TTTCTTAATAGATTATTGTGTGTATATATATTGATTACAATTTTTTTTTTTCTTTGAAGCCATAAAGACCATCAATTGATCATTAGTGGAATAGAGAAAGAACGATTCCCAAAATCAAACTGTGAGTATTGTTTTTCTTTATTAAAAAAAAAAAAAATTCAAAGAACAAGATTGAAACCTTAAACAAATAAATTATGGGCCAAAATTAAAAAAATAAATTATACAAAAACAAATCGAACCTGAACTTAGGCTTTTTGTACAAGAAAAGCAATTGTCAAAATTGACCTGACCTACTTTGGTCAATTTGATAGAGATAAAGTCATTCTCATTCATTTTTTATTTTTGCAATCTCATTGATTAAAAGTACCATATGTAAAATATTTAATATTCAATAATACTTTTATGGCATTCGAAGAATATTCAATAATTTTTCAAGTATGATTTAATTATTTAATGTTACAAGTCTATTGGACGAATTAATTTTTTTGCACAAATTTCTTTTCCCTTTCCTTATTGCGATTTAAAATTTCTTTTCCAATTGTCAGTACTGAATTTATCTGTGAATAAAATCAGTAATAAACTTATCTTTTCCCTACAAATTTGGGTACTCTGTTTTTTGTCATCCCATCATCTCCACCATCACCAACAAAGCTCTCACTCTGTCAAACCAAATGGGGGTTAAAAGGAAGAAATTGGTTTCATGTTAATACCCATTTTTATTTCATGTTAGTCAAATGGGTTGAGGATTGTTAACATTAAATGGGTTAATGTGAACATTAAGGTTAACCTGACTGTTAACATTAAGTTGAAAATATTTTTGTTAACATTAAATTGGTTTCATGGTCATATTTTTTATTCACAGTTTCTAATTAATGTTAATTAGAACATTATTTTTGGTATTTATTGAATACTTTTGTATTTACTTAAGCTTTATCTAGAACATTATTTAGTGGTGATTTGCAGAATGATAATAGTTGCAACTTATTAGAAGTTATTTTATTTTATTTTAATTTCATTTTTAATCATTTTTCCCAAATTTTAAATTAAATATTTTTTAAAAAATTTAAGTTTGTCTAGATTAGATGATCTTAAAAATTAAAATAATTTAGAATTTTTTTAAAAGTATTATTAAACACAAAAAAAATCTTAGGTTTATATGGATGTTTGACAAAAATTGACTTATTTTTATATCTAGTGATATTTTAAATAAAATTTTGAGTCAATTTTTTTTTACTTTATATATCTGAAAATTATTTTTTTTTTAAATTATCAAATATAAAAATAAGTCAAATTAAAAGCTAGTGCAAAAAACAGCCCGAACGCCGCCAGTCCGTACGCCGTGGATGCGTCGGTGCCGTAAACGCAGTAGGTTTGCTCGTCGTACTCGTCTGCTGTTACTTTGGCCTAACACAGAAGGAAAGAAAGAAAGAGAAACGGAATCGGAATCGGAAAAAGATCTGAGAGTGGGAATTTTGAAGAATAGAGAGTGAAATAGGTAAGGAGGGTACCGTGCTACGGCGGCGCTCGGCGCCGACGGCGAGAACGAAGGCGATGAGGTGAAGAGAAGTGATAACGGCTATGATGGAGACTGAGACTGAGACCGCCATTGCTGCGTTGCGTTCCTCTCTCTCTCTCACTCACTCACTCACTCAGTGTGTGCGTTTTAATTCATGCAGCTAAGTGAGGAGGATACTGCAAAAAATTGTTCCACAGATTGTTGGACAATTTGAAAGAATACAATTGGGAACATATAGAGAACTTCTAAGGATTGACGTATACCAGAAATTTTGCAATTTATTGCATTCTTCTAACAAGAGCAACTAATCAATTTCATGCAATCTTATACCTTATCTCATCAATTATCTTCTACCAACTAGTTAAGATTACTCTCTCTCTCTCTCTCTCTATATATATATATATA